GAGGGAGGGGGGAGGGAGGGGAATTATTTTAAGAATGATGAGGGCAATTCATGTACAAATATGCTTTACACAATTGATGTATGTATGGATTGTGATGAGTTGTATGAGCCCTTAATAAAATTATTTTAAAAAATTTACAATGAGTGCAAGAAAGAAGAAAGTATTATAAAACTGGTCGTGGTGATGATTGTACCACTCTTCTTAATATGATTGAACTATTGAATTGTATGATGTGTGAATTACATGCCAATAAAACTGTTGAGAAAAAATTTTAATTCGCAAGAAGTAAAAACAAAAATAAAGTGGTATGGGTAATTTAGAAGTTATAGGGTGAAAAGCAGTGCATTTAGGGAACTTTTTTTCCACCCCACTACAGTGGGTGAGGTGCTTAAATCTTCACCTCAGATACTCGCTCCTATTCTGGCTACATGTTGAATCATCTGGAGGAGCTTAACAGAACACACTTAAGTCTCTATGTGTAGATCCCACCAAGATGTGACTTTAGACGGCAAAGTGTGGCATCTGGGCAATAGTATTCAAAGTTCTCCAGAATTGAGAATCACTGTCAGAAGCTTACAAACAGGGAAATTAAGCTTGTGTGTATACAGTGTGGTGAGGAGCAGGGTTGGAGCACTTATTTCATGGCAAGATCCTCTAATAGAGAAAACAAACTAAAGGTTTACTAGTCTTCTCCAACCCAAATCTTTTTCAGAAAAACCTAATTTACAATCAAGTCTATTTCAGTGGTTCTCAAGGGCAGTCCAGAAACCCACGTGCCCTCAGGATCCCTCTAGGGCAGTGGCTCTCAAACCTTCCTAATGCTGCAACCCTTTAATACAGTTCATATTTTGGTGACCGCCCCCCAAACCACAAAATTATTTTTATTGGTACTTCATAACTGTAACTTTGCTAGTTATGAATTGGGCAACCCTAGTGAAAGGGTCGTTTGACCCCCAGGTTGAGAACTAATTGCTTTAGGGGGTCCAAAGTCAATCTGCCCTTTTCACTCTCTCAAATCCAGTGGAGTTTTCAGAGGTCAAATGATATATGTCACTACTGATCACAATCAGAATGTGGTTACTTAGAAAAAGTTTTCATTTCTATTTTATCAGTGTAGCCCATAGAGCTAACGTTCTTTGGAGTCCTGGGTTCTTAAGAATGTAGAAGTCCTGAGCCCACAAACTCTGGGAGCTATGGGCCCTCTGTGGACAGCTTCGGTGGCTTTACTTTCTGCACAGTAACGATCAACTTGACAAGGGAAGGACATCTGCGCGAGCAGTTGCTGTAGCGCTACTGAAAATGCGCGGCACAGAAACCCAGCAGATTACGAAAAACAGCAACAGGGAAAGCAACAGGTGGACTTCTCCACTGTGAACCGAAGTGTGAAATTTAACTTGTTGCTCCACGTTCTACAGACAGCGTATCAAAATAGGTTCGAGAACTGGCTGTTACTCAGATAAAACGTGCAGTGATGTTTAAGTCCTCCTCCTCCTCACTCAGTTCCACACCCATTGATGAGTCCCAGATGGCGTGAGACCCAGCCCATCTCCATGTAACTGCTAAAATCAGAGACAGAAGCAGATTATAATTCACTTTTCAGCATACTTTATTTGTTACAAACATACAATTTTTTAAATATAGACTGTAAAACTCAGTTTTGCAAAAGTCTGCTACTATAAGGAGAGCACACCAGCAGGAAGGATTATTGAACTTTTCACCGTAACTTTTTCTGTCAGTTTTGATAGTGGTAAATACGGGACCCGCCATTTTACAGACCTGCCTGAAGCTACTGGCTGTCTTCACATTGCTTTTGTAGCAGCCCTGCTTGTCTCAAAATTGATCAGTTTCTGAGCTTCAACCTACAGGCAGTGAGATAAACAACCCGTTGAACTGTTTCCAGGAAATGATTTAATAGGTACTGCACTTATGTATTTGTTTGAATTGCCCACGCGGCTGTTTGTTAAAGTGCATTCTTTTAAAAAATAAGCAAGAGGAACAATCTTTACTTTTTAACCAAGGTATTTAAAAAAATGAACTTTTTGGTCTCTCAGCAGATATTCCCAAGTTAATCATATCACTATAAATTTAGTGTTCTATTTACAAACATTTATAGGGTTACTGGTAGAGGGGACCTTATAAAATTAAAGGTATTGCTTCTCTTGAAGCAGAAACAAGTTTTACAAATTCATACATATGAATACACAATTTGTTGACAATGCACAAGCATGTAGTATTTACATAGATTGAAGACGACCCCCTCCCTTTCCAAATAAAACTTTTAAACTTAGATTCAACGTAAACACTAATCTAGATCAGGAAGCTGTCTCCTGCTATCAAAATTTAATTTTAGTTTATTCAAATTACTTCTTTAGATTCTATACTGGTGAAAAATCAGTCCCAGTTTTGGAGTGAATATCCTATTTTAAGGAATCATTAATAGATATGGCTGGTAGGGAAGGTTTCTACAGGATGGGAATCGTATAATCTGGAAATAGATCAGAAGACAGATCTTAGAAAAACATCTGTATGGTCCAAAGGAATAAATCCCTACCACTATAACTGTCTGAACTTTAGAAAAAAATCCAAATACAATAATCTTAGTTATTATTCCAATGTTGGCAAATCTCACAATAACAAAACTCATATACTTCCCTGCGACTGTAACATGCCTTGTACTGACTTAAGAGTGTTTCAAGACTTTTTGCTCTTTCCACTAATCACTCCTAAGAACTCGAGAGTTTTTGTACACAGGGGAACATGCAGCTTGGAGGAAAAATAAATACGTCCAATATTCTATCAGTCTAAAGTAAACCCCCAAAGACCTACTACACAACATGTGTTTAGCACTGATTAATCCTGGTTTTCATCTTTCCCTCCTCTATTACAGGCTTCTGAAAAGGAGACTTAAAAAGAGAAGAAACAAACTACTTCCCACGGAAGAGTTTCCTAAATAATTTAATCTTTCAATTCTGGGTTAAACTAGAGATAAAATATTTTGCCTTTAAGAAATAAGAGTCTAAATAAGTTTTCTTTAGTTGGCCTTTGAAGTGTTAAAGTAGGGGGAGAAAGGCAATAAAGGCAAGCCTTCTGTGATATGCTAATAGGCAGTAAATTGAATAGGTGTATTGTTTTCTTTCCAGTCTTTTGGGCCCACACTTCACACTTAGACATATTACAGAGATATAATCAGCCTGCTTACACATCAGTGGACATTATATGTAACAGGAAAAATGAATTTTGCTCCAAGTTACCATGTTCCTTAAAAGTAATTTTTTCCATCAAATTGCAAGTTCATATCACCATTAGAAAAATGTTTCTTTCTCCATTTTACTTGTCTTCCCCTTATCAAAAGTCCTACTGAGTATGGCATTTGCTGTTTTAATATGGCTGTATCTATCCCAAATGATAGGCATGAGTTAGACTTTTAAGTGAAATGAACAGACTGCGGAATAAAGTAACAGATTTACGCGCCCTATTTCATTAGGAAATAGGAAATACAATCACAAAGGTCTTTCTTGGATCAAGGGTACAGATAAAATTTAGGAATCACTAGGGTAAGTTTTTATGATATATTTACTTTAAAATTTCTGTACTGACAATTAGGTCCCATTTGCTGAAGCCTGTTATTTCCATAGATAAAGAAACTAGGTTTTAAGACAGAAAGCTGGGATAAGTAACATTAATTAAATAGCAAAGTAACTAACCATTCAAGTTTCTAGAAACTTCTGGGGCTAACATTTGAAAACTGACTTTTTCTAGGATCAAAATACAGAAATGTTATAATAATTTGCCATTTCCACCTTATATCTGGATTTTCAAACAGGGCAAATAACATGTACTTCTTTTCTCTTCTATTTTTTAAAAAAGATATATGTGGCTATATTTTTTCTTTTCTTCAAACGTAAGATACCTCCCTCCCCAACCCTATCCATATACCTATTATCCAGTTGATTCAATGGGAATAATAACTCTTTAGGAAGACAGCTATTAATTTACAGTACTCTACAACCAACCCTGAAAAGGATAATCTCATTCATTTACTACTTTAGTGCTGTTGTTGACAGGAAAAAAAAGTTACCTTAAGGCTCAAGGGAAAGTAATTTTATTGAATTATGAATGCAGCATTGTTTACTCTCCCATCCATTGGAAGCTAGCAAAATGCATTCTGGATCAATACAAACTTTCTAACATTAGCAAATATTTCTACTTTTTTTACACAGACAATATTCATAAGCAGATTATCTAGGGAAGCCTGAGAAACCATGATCCACATCACACAAAGATTCCATGTATTTCATGATAAAAAAGTGCTTTATCTTTGAGAAATATGCCAGGGCTTAAATGGAAATATACAATGCAGAATCACTTGACACTTTTCAAGTGACGCACAAAGTGAAAAAGGAGCAAAAAGAAGAAGGCCTGCTCTCTAACAGGTCTTATGCATGGAACTTTTAGGGTATACTAAATTAAAATTGCTTTACGAAGTGGGATTTTAAATGCACTATATTCTAAAACCTGAGATTGGACATCAAAGCCATCAACTTACTCATCAGAGCAGTTCTGATACTTCCTAAAAATAGAAGACAACTCAATTGAATAACTAGAGTCAAAACCATTCACTTTCCCCAATCAAAAAGCAGACTATCACAAATACATTAGATAGATACTAAGAGTGCTGCAGATTTATGACTCTCAGCAAATGAGTCATTTTTACCTAAGCAAAAAAAACCCCAATTCTCCTCTTCTTCCCCTTCTCACTGATCAAGGCCACACTATTTTCAAATGAATATCTACTGAGAGATCAGTTGTGCATTGGACAAAGTACCACCATTGGATTAGAAATGAAAACAAAATTTACAGTGAAGAATACTATGTGCATGGCTTACATACTCAAGCTTCTTCTTAATTTCTTCTACCTCAAGAGTAAGGTAGATGAAAATAATCACCTTTGAAAACGTGGTGTAGATCACATTCTACACCTCTGTAAAGCCAGAGAAGGTCACATTTAAGAAATCGTCCTTAGTAATTATAGTGCCTGAAATATGCAGCCATTTCTAGACCACTCAATATGAGGGCTTTATTATAACCAGCCTCTTTTGCCCACAACCCTGCATTTTCAGATACGACAGGTTAATTGTTTTGAGAAAACAGAAGCCTGAATCTGTTAAAAGACCTGCCACTTATTGCAAAGTGATCCAGAGTAACCAAAGGAAGCAGGAAGTTAATGGCTGCCTGCACCCAGTCTCTCAATCATTTTGCAGTAAATAATTATGGGAAATGACTTGACTCGTAGCCATATTTGTATTGCAGCTACAGTCATTCATACATACATGAAGCGTGTATACCACCTACACGCTTCAATTATTTACATAGGGTGTCTGATTTTTGGTTTGGTTTTCAATTTGTTTTTTGGTGCCATACAGATTTCCATTTTGTTTGGTGCAGCAAATGCACTGAAGGTTGCTGACCAGCACTGCCACAGTTCCACTTGCTGAAGAATAGGTAGGGACAATAGAAACCAGAAATGACTATTAGGCTCTCTACAGATTTTTGCTCTTTTGATTCTGCACCTAAAATTTGACTTCTTTCCTCTGTAACTGTGGTAGTTTGAGAAACAAATCTTCTACCAAAAGAAATTTTGGCTCCTACTTCTCAGAAACAGGACTATTTTAAACATGTGATTAGTTAGATGCTTGTCAGAGTTAAGACATGCCCTAAATCACAGTTCATAGCAGCAGCTGGAAATAAAACCCTCCCTCCCCCCATACAAAAGGGCATTTTCCAGTCTTGTATAATACCATTAACTGCGTGGATTTAACAAAGACCATTTGTTAATAACTTATATTTGAATGAATTCTGAAAGATGGCCTGTTAACACCATCTTGTTTAATAAACCACTCTGTGCTTTGCAAATTTCTATTGTCCCTAGTGACCGGAATGAGGATTAGTGAAATGCTACAATTAATCCATATCCTCTGCAATCTTCCTGCAATGGGAAGAGAGGCCATGAACTGCAGGAGAAACAAATCTTCAAGATTGGTTAAGACTTAAAAACCCACCACTATGACATTTACCACTTACTCCTACATAGGCAGGTCAGAATTTTAATATAAATTACTTTTTCCAACACATAGCTTATGCATTCTTTGCTCCTTTTCTTGGAGGACTATCAAATTGGTATCTAAAGATTTACATATGATATATTACTGCTATATGGTCTAATGACTAAGAAAATTTCTCTGGTAACCAAAGCTGATGCCATATATGGTAGTGTTCTTAGCATATACTCTATATGCCTCAGACCACTTCCACATATTTCTATTCAGCTAATTATAGTTTAGTAGCCACTGGTAAAGGGTTGTGAAGACCCTGTCATTTCTATAGAATAGAAAGGGCAAGGCTAGTTACTGCAATTCAACCAAACAAAAAGAAAACAGAATCAACCAACCCCTTGACAAGGAGAGGTATTGCACCTTTGCAAAGTTGAACTGGCTCACTGCAGCTGAGCAACAGAACTATCACTGAAACGAAACAAGTGGATCATACAGGAATTGTACATGGAGTGAAAATGAGTTATAGCAATCAACTAATAGCTGCAATCTTAATTTTCACTGCTGCCTCAAACTTTTGACACTTAAACAGTTTCTGCAAGCCTAATGTGAACATCTCACCTCCTTTACAAAAAATTTAGGATTTTGTTCTCCACAGCAAAGAAATAAACATTCAAACAAAACACAGGTAAATACAGCAGGACATTTTTGAAAACAGCTGCCTTGTAGTACAAAATACAGTACAAGTGTAGGGATGTAATTATAACATCAAAAATACTATTGCTCCCATACAATTTAGGAAACATTCTTTGCAATGGAGAATTGTTTTTTTAAAGAAAAGCTTAAAAAAAAAAACATTTAAAAAGTCTATTGTGGATGATTAGAGAAATAGTCTGAAAAGGGCACCAATGCTTGTGGCTCTTGAATTTTTTTTAAAAATCTAAGATTGACAATATTCTGGAGTCTAATTTTTTAAAAAAGCCTAAATTTATATACACTATTCACTTCTTCTCAGCCACAGATGCATGTAAATTACTTTTGTATATTACTTCCCAATAAATACAAAGATTGTATAGATTGACTACCAAAAGAAGATAATAAAAAGGGTATGCAATAAATTAAAAAGGCAGCTCAAATAAAGGGCAGGCATGCAGTTAAAAAAGATGGAGATGGGGTTACTTGCCTCCCAGGTGAGGTGTTATACCTGAAAACTTTGGAAAGAATAAATCCCATTTAGTTCATAGTTACTTAGGTATTTAACATTTAAAGGAACGACGACTTTTGATGGGACCAGGAGTAACTTGATTAGAAAAAAAAATTCACTTCTAATGAGAATTCATTTAAAATATGGAGGAGGCGATCCTTGAAAACCCAACTTTTATTCTTCAGATAGCTGGATAACCTGGCAAAAATGTTTGCTGAAATTTCAAGATGGTATAAAAATGCTTCCAGGATATAATATTCATGTTCACTTGAGTTCCATTTAGAGATGGATTTCAGCTTCTATCAGGGGTGCTGCTTTGAATCATTCTCATGCATCATTTGCCAACTTTGAGTGTGAGGTACTGATACAATGGAGCAAGTTCTGGAAAACATTTCAAAGAAAAGTTGATGCTGGAATTCAGGACCTGAGGCTTTTTAGTATTTAAACAAATCCACAGATTAAAATGAAGGTAAATGACTTCAGTTTTGGTTATTTCCAACTTTTCTATTAAGCTGTATTTTCTATTAAAGCTCAGACTTGTGGCCACACTACTTTTGTAGAATTCTTCATGTTCTATAGTTGGAAACCCAGATGACCAGAGGCCAAAAGTTATCCACAATTCAATTGCACCATGGGGATCTGGCTCTCATTTAAACCCAAGCCATGTCTTGGTGACGACCTCCATTGTTTGGAGTCAAGTCAGAACTTCAGAGAGCAGCAACCAATCCACTCAGCTTTATGTGGGCTTGGTGCCCAATTTCTCATGTCTACCTTAACAACCTCCAATGTTTTATCTTCAAAATATCTCGCCAACTTTTAAACTATTTCAGTAATGGATTCTTGCTGAAGCACTGGTTATCATTTAATTCATTTGCATCTAGAAAACAATTCTGCAAAGACAAGGCATGGGCTTTGGTCCCGGTTCCGTCCAACATCCCAAACCTGTTTTTTTTAAATGGATCCAATCTGTTTCTGTATCCAATGGAATTTTGAATTTTTATTTTGCCCTGCCCATGATTATTTAAAGTTGTGTTTCTCTTAAAATAACCTGTATTCTCTGAACTGGGTACTGCAATGGCTTCTCTCTTCTCAAAAATTCCTTGAAGTCCTAGATTGAAAATACTGATTTCAATGGAGGTGAAGGGGTAGACATGAACAGTAAGGTCTGGAGATGTATTTTTGACCAGATCACACAAGAACACAAACTTAAATCAACAGTAGGTCTGGGTAACTCTGATGTTTGTTGTCCGTTGGCCCACAATGTACAGATTTCTCCTTTCCTTGGTTATCCCTGGTGGGTTTAGGAACCTTAGCTGGAAAAAAAAAACCCACACCCCCCCAAAAACGGAAGCTGAGACGTATTTTGTTCTCAAAATATAGATGCAATTGTCCTCTCTGCAGGTTGCTGTCAGTCCATTATAACTTCACGGCCACAGTTTATTCTCTTATGATTATTTCATTAACTAGATTGTTTTTTATGTTGTTTTCTCCCCCTGGGGCCTCCCTTGCTCCTCCTCGCTCTCTCACTTGGAGAGGAGCAGGAAAAAGCTCTACACAAGGGGACGTTGGTGGGGTGAGGGCGGCCTGTCGGGGTTCAATCCTCATCCACCTCTTCACCCTCAGACTCATCCCCCCCGCCGCTGCCCCCACCACGTCGTTCATAAAGCTTATCCCTCTGGCGCTCCTGGATCTCCTTCATCTCCTCAGCATAGCGGCAAAAAGCACCTCCGAATTTGCCCCAGGCCTTGAAGGGGACGGTGATGGCATTGCGGTAGGACGGCTTCACCTCGCTCACTCGCAGGAACACGCCGTACTTGTTGCAGCCGACGTCGAAGAAGAAGCGCTTGGAGTCCACAGTGATGGAGGTGCCTTCGGGGAGCTCCCCGTACAGGCCCCCGCCGGGGCCGCCCCCGCCGCCTCCGGGGCCCCCGGCCAGCTCGTCCTCCTCGCCGCCGTAGTCGTCAATGAGCTTGGCCAGCGCGTCGCGGAACTCGATGAGGCCCTGGGCGGGCAGGGCGATGGTCTGGCCGCTCTGCAGGCCCCCGGGCCCCGGGCCGCCGCCGAAGCCGCCCCCGATGCGGTTGATGGTCTGGCGGATCCGCAGGAAGCGGCCGCGCTGGTTCTCCTTGAGGTCCAGGTAGTACTTGCGGTTCTCCCGCACCAGAAACTCACTCTTGAGCGCCCGCCGCGGCCCGCCGCCGTCCTCGGCGCTCGCCGCCGCCGCCGCGATCTGCTCGGGGCTGCTGGGCCCCAGCTGCGCATAGTGTTCGATGAAGTCCCCCAGGTAGTCGCGGAACTCGGCGGCCACGGCCATGGAGAGGGTGAGGCGGCTCTTGGAGCCCCCGGCGCCCACCTCGGCGATCTTCAGGAAGCGGCCCTTGGCGTTCTGCTTCACGTCCAGGTAGAAGCGCTTGTTCTGGATGTCGAGGCGCTTGGAGGCCAGCTCCTGGGTCTCCTGCTCGCCGCCGCCGC